TGAGGCTCCCCTGTGTGTGAGGAGTTGTTGTCTCCTGCTGCTTTCAGAGTTCTTCCTTTGACAGTTCTCTCTCTTTGTAGTTTTCATGTCGATGTGGGTGTGTGGCCCTCTCGGTTGGGGCTTCTCAGAGCTCCTGTGTGCCTCTCACTCCTGAGCTTGTCCTTTTCATGGCCCTAGCTGGGTGTTGCTGGACCTAGCTGCTTGCTGTTGCCCCTGACAGCTTAGAGGGGCAGGCTTGACCAGCTCCCTCAAGGCTTGCTGCTCTCTGTGAGTTCCCCATCAGGTAAGACAGAGGTGACCTTTTCTGTTGGGGTTTCTAGGGACCACCAAGCAGGACCACTCTTGACTGTTGTTTGGGAATGAGGCTTAGGAGAAGCTCCAGCTCTGTGCTTCTCACCCACTATTGGACACATGGGATATTATTTTTCAGGACTACGGATGAGCTGGGGAGCCCCTGATAGGACTATGATACATTACTGAAAACCCACAAAGGTCACTGTCCTTATTGATACTGTTATTTTTCTTGTTTAACACTTTCTGGTTGATCGAAGGCTCTGGTTCATTTACAGAATTCTGAAAATCTGATTTTGACCATATAGCCACTTTTAAAATCGCCTTTCCAGAGGGATGGGGTTGATGTCCTGGCTCTGTCATGTTCACTGACTTCCTGTGCTTCTGGCTTGTCTTTGGTGCATGCTCCGTGGGCCACTAGCACTGTGTAGAGCTGGACAGGAAAGGTTCTTTGGTCTTATGTTTGGTCAGCTACCATCTTAAGTTTCTCTGGAGTGAATCTGAGAACTATATGAAGGTGCACTCACATCTCAGAGCTAAATGTGAAGTTTGTAATCAGTGCCAGTTCTCAAGCAGAGTTAAGCCTCTGTTACGATGAATTCAGGTGCGTAAAGAGAAAGGTGGTGCATGGGAAGTGAGAAGAGAAGCTAGAGAAAGAGAACAAAGTCTGGTCCTACTGAATACTCGTGGGAAGCTGTGTGATGGCTGCCAAAGGAGTCCACACTCTGACCCCCAGTGTGTGCGAACAGGGCACCTTGTGTGGCAGAAGGGGCTTTTCAGATGTGAATAAATTACAGATTCTGAGATGAGATCATCCTGGCTCATCCGGATAGATTCTAAATGAAATCATGAGGGTCCTCAACAAAAGTGAGGCAGGAGGGTCAGAGAGACGGGAGGTGGGACAGAGGTGGAGGTGGGAGTGCTGTTCTTTGAAGATGAGGAGCAAGCTTCAAGCTGCAGAGGGTAGCCAGCATCTCGAGGCTGGAGGGGGCAAGGGCAGGGCTTCCCCAGAGCCACTGGGGAGGGCACACCTTGATGGCTGCTGCCTTCCGGAACTGTACCATAATAAACTTGTGTTACTGTAAGCCACCGAGCATGTGAGCATCTATTATAATAGCAGACTCCTGTTGCTGGAGGGCTGCTGCCTCAGCAGTGAGGATTTCTTCCTGAAGGGAAAGGAGGGAATTTGGCAGCATTTTGCTGGATTCTTTCTCAGCCAGTCATCAGGAAAGTCCATACAGGGTGGGGGCAGCACCAGTATTTGAGTGCAGATGGTCAGACTGCGACTCCCTTGGCTTTTTTGTCATGCACCTGCTTTTCCAGTCCATATCTTGTGTAATTGCTCTAAAAATGATTGTGTAGTTCACAAGAATTGTAACCTTAGGGGGTGTTTTGAGACCACGATGGTGTTGCTCTTTGAGCTGGTGAATCTCATGTCTTCAACTGGACTCCATGATACAGACACAATGTGAAAGCGTTTTATCACAGATAAGCTCCTGTCTTGCTGGTGGTGCTCTCTCTCACCCCACCCATCTTCTTTTTTGGGGGGCAGGTGTCAAGATGGGAATGATGAAGGTGTTCTAACATAGAAGTAAGTCAGGACACTCTTTGGTGATTTGCACGTTATTTTCTAAGCCTGCATTCCCATCTTTTATTGAGCCTGTCACCCTGCCCTTCCCTTCCCTTCCCTTTTTCCCCCCATACCTTAAGAGCATTCATGTGTCCTTTTAGTCCCCACGACCAACCCAGGTTCATTGCCCTCTGGGAGGACACATACACACAGGTATCAATGTACTCAGATCTGGGGTTTATCATAATGAAGGCCTACAAGCAAAAGGAAAAGGTGTGCAGGGCTCAGCCAAGAGGAAACCTGGCCTAGGTCTCCATCAGCTCTTCAGTGGAGGTACACACGCCCATGTGAAGTGTTTTCTGCTGGAAAACCTGCCTGAGCCTGAGAGTCTAGGGTGTTTGAGGTGTTGCTCATGTGGGCAGAGTGCCAGCACACCTTACTGCAATCCCTGAACTCCATCCTTCCAGAGGGAAAGCAGATGTTCATCAGGAACAGCAGGGCTTGCGTAGATGCCTGGAGGAGCAGGTAGAGAG